ATGGGGTACTTTTTCTTTCTGTTGGGTGAGATTGGCGATCTCAATTTATACTCATATTCTCTCTATTTCCAGTATTCCGTCTCTCTCCTTTTCTTCTTTCTCAATTTATCCTCTTATTCTCTCTATTTAAAGTTTTCCTTTCTCTCATTTTCTTCTTTCTCTCTTTGTGCTCTTATTCTTTCTCTCTCTCACTCTATTTCCAGTATTTCATTTCTCTAGTTTTCTTCTTTTAGTCTTTCTTCCTCTCTTCTCTGTTTCTCATCTTCTCCCTTTTGTTGCCGCTCTAGTTTTTGTTATTGTTTAACAAACCCTTCTAGTTCACTATCTCTTAACCCAAGATGCTCACCTCTTTCAATCTACTTATCAAAATCTGTTGACATGGTTATATAGCGTGATTGTAATCTTCGCACTATTTTTGCCATCATTACCGTTGTGCCTATATAGGCTTACTTATTTCTGCTGTCGTTCACGTCTTCTTCTACCGCCGTTTACCACTGTATAATCCTATCTGGCTCACCAAATGTCAGGTTTTAAATATGAGTGGGCTGGGATTCTTTTACAGTTGGTGTCTGTGACTTGTTTTGAATATATTATTTTAAAACAAGTGGATTGTGTGCTGTCCGTTTATTGTTCGAATTTATCACCAACAATTCACAGACACTTATTGTCAGAGAATCCCAGCCCACTCATATTTAAAACCCTGACAATCAGTATGTCTTTGTATTGAATAGCATAAATACTCCTTTCCTTCTCTATCTGCTTGGGCTCTGCGATGGTTGAACGGGAGATATGACTGTAAGCTTTATTTTGGTGAACTAATAGTCTGTTTGACCGTGTTTCCAGACGGAGATCCTTCTTTATTATGTTCTGTCCTTGGTTGAGCACGTGGACAGCCTTTGCTACTGACCATTGTTTTCGTGGATTCTCACCTGTTATAATACGACACACTTCGCTTACCATGGCTGGGCATGATATGTTGAAGGTCTCTTTCTGAATGGTCCTGGAGACCCCAGTTGATCGATATTTCTTTCTTTTCCAATGTTATTAAGTACAAGGGATAACCCAACTTGGAAATTATAAATCATCGATCTAAAGACGTCTGTATAATTTGAGTGTATAAATATTTTGCGTTAGAAAGAGCTACAACATGCCCTTCCCAAAAGCGATCAATTTTCCGTGGCATCACACTATCTACGTAACGCCACAATTTACGTTGTTCTGATATGCTCCTTTTTACTACGACTTTAAATCGGTTGTGTTTACACGTGACGCGATGACAGTATATTAAAAATCGTTCTAATATAAAAGTATAACCATATAAGTATAAGTTAATCTATCAATTTAAATTATTTTATTGACTTTAAAAAGGTGAATTGTGTTGCACTTTTGGTTTCATTCAGAGACAACGTTTTCTCTGAGCTACTTAAACCGCCGACCGCGAAAAGTAGTTGTTGAACATTTCAGTCATGCTAAGAGCCACTCAACAATAACATATGGTAAATCTACATTTTTATTCTTTAAGTTACGTCACATTTTGTAATGTGAATGATAATATGATTAATGTCTAACAATTTAGTG